TATATTATATCTTTATATATTTATATAAAAATGAACTGGTGTTCTGCATCCAACTAAACAAAAAAAAAAAAAAACCAAAAAATCCACCTACAATGTTTCTGGTCCCAACTTACCTGAACCATTGCCGCCCTTTCAAGATAGAATGTTGAGTTAAATGCACATGCAACAGATTTCCCTGTCACAAGTATTCCATGGTTTCCCATTAACAAAATTGACTTGCCACCCATTTGCTTAGCAATCCTAGCCCCTTCACTACTGGTGTTTGCAAGACCGTCGTAAGCAGTATCATATGCAACATCTTTGAAGAACATAGTAGAAGTTTGGTGTATCATCCGCAGAGTTGGATCTTTAAGACACGCTGAAAATGAATGAACAATTACTGCAATCAGTGCTGAGCTAACACACTAGAATGATAAAATTCAATATCTTTAACATTTCATCCTCCAGAATAATTCTTAATTCAACCAGTATTGGAAATAATTTTATTTCACATAAAAGTTAGGCCTATCTTAATTTTACCATATTATGTTTAAATATCTTAATTTTTAAATTATATTTAATCAATATATACTTGTTTTACTTCAAATTCTTTAAAGTTAAAATGGTTTAATTTTTGTGTTTCTGATCAATGATTATATATTTTGCTATATATTTATTTTACATATATTAATTAATTATTATTTTTCGTATTTCACGGTTTAGATAATTGTTTTCTGGTACTTTGTTAATTTTGCTTGATTATATTACAATTGGCCTATATTATTAATAATATTACATTGTTTATGTTAAACTGGATGAGTGAGGTTCACAGCAGTGGCGGCTGTAGGATATAAGCTAAGCTGTCTAAAACGGGAGGCTTGAGCTCTTATTCCCGAGCAGGGGAAGGTTTGGGATGGGGGTGTCCCCTCCCAAATGAGATTTTTTTTTTTTAAAGGACTGAATGGCTAGAAATGGCACTCTCAGACTGACATGTGTTGGCTTGGCATAGGCCTATTTTACAATTTTTTTTGTCTGACTGCTGAACGAGCTTTGGCCGGTGGGAGGCTTGACCTCTCGAATGGGAGGAACCTGGCGTTGTCATTGTTCACAGACTTTTTGTTACACTGCTTTGTGTCCCTGCTCACTCATTCAATTTATTGTATTTGTTTTCTGTACATTACTTGTATACCATCTTTGAATTGTACTATGTTTTTTTGGCAAATAAAAAATATTAAATAAGAATATCTGAATTGCATATTTTCAAGTTATTAGCTTTCAAAAATATACACAGTATGAACAAATATATTATATAATTTATAGCTCTTCCTCTATGAACTTTGATGTTGTAGTATAACAAAACCAGAGAATCCACTAATTAAATACTGTAGATCGAAAACTTTGAATCTCAAAATGTCTCCATCTCTTTTTGGAGTTATTGTCTTTTTGTTTTAGTTAGTATAAAGTATTGCAGGTTTATAAGAAACAATTCTATAGGCATTTCATATATTTTTCTAATTACATGAAATTTATTAGGATGATGCAAAAATGCACAAAAGTGAAATTCACTGTAAAAAAAATTGTTATTGCTACTAACAGAGAGCTGACACATATGGCGGATGTACATGAAAAACAGAATTCATTGACGATCCTGTTTGAAGCAGTGCTCTATGAACCTCACAATGAATACTAATAGCAGTAGCCTCTGGTTGGCCAGACCCTTCAACAATGCTATCGTCTTCAAGATCCACACCAACTAAGCTGCTAGCTGTGACCTGAAAATAAAATATTACTGAATATTAAATCAAATAGTGTGTAATAAGGAGCCAAGTAACAAAAAAAATTATATCATAGCTTTATTTTTTAAGTACTTTGAATGCCTCATATAGAACATCAAACCTTTAATAAAACAGGGAGCAAAAATAGAGAACTTTCCTTGCACTAGACATGTATTTGAGATAACTGGAATCCTGTTATTTATCTACAAGTGTTAATGCTGTGATAACCTCCAATGATTTTTGAACTTCAAATGTTTTTTAGTGCAATTTTAACTGTAAATTTATAATTCTATAGAGAAATTTGAATTAAGTTTCGTATCTTTAATGTAGAATAACATTAAACAAAAATATATGATAATGAAAGAACCACTTTATTTCAAATAGACAGGCCCTACATACCAACTATGCATCGTGTTTTGGGACCTGAAAATGTGAGGTGGTCTTTATAATATTGGTCTCAAATTGGATGACGATACCTTGTCTAAAAAGATTGAACATTTGTAAAAGTGATACAGTACAGTATCAAATTAGGCTGGGGTAGGGACCTCGAATTGGAGGGTATTGTCTTAATACTGATGCCTTTATATTCCCAAATAAATTTAATTGAAACTGTTGAGTAGTATTCAAACAAAACCAGCAGGTGCAGGCCCACATACTTCACTCCAATGTAAACCAAACGGAAAAACAAGCATCACTTCTCCAGTCCCATTTCGTGCCGGTGCTCGGGTTGATAGATGGTTATGAATTCCTTCTGAAAGACCGAAATGTTGTAACACTTGATATGCTGCTGCGAGTTCCTCTCGTTGATGTTGATTTTGTCTAATACACTCTGTGACTGTCAAGCTAGGGCTAGGCCTAGTAGTAGTAGTAGTAGTACTAGTAGTATGCGACGTTAAAAGCCTAGCCGCTGTCGACGATGTAGGCCCAGACTTTCTAGGCCTGCCACCATTATTTTTCATATATTTATTTATTGTTGAAATCCTACGTTGGCCTAGGCAGAATAATGCATTTTTAAAGAACATTTTTAATTACTTTCTAACCAACAACAACAATATAAACTGGACAGTCGGGCAGTCGGAGGCGGTACACATCAGCTGAGAGCACGATCGCGATTGTTTTTAATCTTCAGCATGCTCCACTCTTGCCCCGTCTCGGTTGATTGACTCGACTCGAAGGTCTAGGGGGCGTCAACAAGTCATCTTCTCTCTCCTAGTGGCCGCCGGTACTTGAATTATTTGGTTATTCTCGATTGGCGTGCTTCTTTTCGGTAGACCTGTCACGCCAAAATTGGTCCGGGCCAACAAATGTTCGGCGGACAGATTTTGGCCGCAAAAATCGGTCCGCCGGACTACTAAAATCGAAATGTCTGTCGGCAATTGGCTGTCGGCGAATCGTCCTGTCGGCAAACTGGCATTCGGCGAAATGGTATTTCGGTCGAGAGTCTGTAGGCCAAATGTCTGTCGGTGAAACGTCCGGCCACGCTTCTTTCTAAGTTATCTACATAATAATATATGTTTACATTGCTTTTAAAGAAAATCAATTAGACTCTAATAATGACATATTTTTATACTATATATAACAAACTATAACAAAATTCATTGGCGGTTTTTTTCTTTTCTTTTTTAAATAGTGTTGTTTTTGCTGTTTGCTCTGCTTTGTGTTTCTTTTGTAACTTGTTTGTTGCGATGAGGAGTCCCCTAAAAATCAGCCTTGCTGAATGGGACAATTCATCTTGAAATATTAATAAACGAATAAACGAAACGAATACATACACACATATACAGTAGGCCTATATATACACAAACGTATACAAAATCAGAGTTGCTGCACATAGGCAAATTGTGTCATAAAAATTCATCCCAAAAAATTCATCTAGTACTCAAAGACGAGATATCCGGACGCAATATCCGGACGCAATTCTGATTTTAACCATCACCTTGTAATTTTATAATGAATTTTAAAGTTTATTGTATTTTTAATGAAAGTTACAATATATATTCAATATTTTATTTATTATATAGTTTTTGAACTTTACTGTAATGAAGCTTTTACTTACTTGCATTTTTAATGTATTGTATATATTTTTATGTATTGTTTTTCTTTAGAGGGCCTCTTCAAGTCAGCTGTACTACTGTAGTGCAGCTGTTAGAGCTACCCTCGTGAAATAAAGTTGAAATAAAAAATAAAAAAATAAACCCCCTTCAAGTCAGTGACTTAAAATTGGAAAAGATACGGCACCGTCCCTACTCCCCCCAAAACAATTCTGGAATTGCTACTATACGACATTTTTCAAACAATTCGAGATTCTGTTTAATGTTTTCAAAATTTGAACCATACTAACACAATAAAATATTGATACTGACACCGCTATCATAATAATTAAAGAGCGTCAGTCCGAATGTAAGTATATCTTGAAAGAAGCCCATATTATCTTGATTAGAAGCTCGGGCTTTTTCAAAATTACTTTTGCAAATTGAAGAGGAGGCTTCTTTTCAAGATGGGCTTTCTTATGGAGATTAATCCCATCGGGCTTCTATTCGAGGTATACAGATAAGACCATAAAGATTTTTTTTCCTATTTTTATTGGTTTTTGAAGTTTTTAAATAAAAACCCCTTTTGAAATTTTACCTCAGCCTCAATTTGTTCTGCTGTCTTATTTTGTTTTTATTTCCTAAGCAATATTTCAGCCTCAGTGCAGGGCCGGCGGAACGTTTTTCAAAGTGGGGGGGGGGCCACTTATAAGCAGGCGCGTAACAGGCGTCTTGGGTCGGGGGGGG